TTTTTTTTGTGCCGGGCTGAAATGAAACGGTACTCTGTTACACTGGGTAGACACAACACGAGGATCAGGAACAAGCATGTGGTTCTGGACGCATTCCAGTTTGACCAGTGTGTGTGTGTGTGTGTGTGTGTGTGTGTGTGTGTGTGTGTGTGTGTGTGTGTGTGTGTGTGTGTGTGTGTGTGTGTGTGTGTGTGTGTGTGTTTGGAGTCTCATGCACACCAGAGTCAGTTTTCAACTTGTGCTTGAGCTGTTAATTGTGTGCTAAAGAGCATTAATGTTTCAGCGTGTGTGTGTGTGTATTATGTTCGTCGATGGCTGGGCACGCTTACAGTCTAGTTTTTAAAGAGGGGCGGGGTTTGTTGGGGGGCTTAGTTAAGGGTTAATTTCCCCAATCTCCTGGAAATTTAGAAAACTGATTCCCTTTGTTTTCTCTCCAAAGATAGATTGGTCATTTTCTCCAGATCCACTTTTTAAGATTTTGGTTGAAATTGTCTTTAGGTCCTGACAGAAATTAATAACTCATGTTCCTGAAAAAGGAACAAAAAATCCGTCATCTGTAGCAGTTTGTAAGGCTGTAAAAACTTTGACCAATGTCTGCCACGAGGTACCAATCTGATGAACCAATCACACGCCTCCCTGTCTCCCTGCTCGTTCTCTACCTCTTGCGTACTCTTGCCCAAACTCAAAGCTCGTCACCGAGTGTATACTGTGAGTTTACTTACCGCTGAATGAGACGTGAGACGATGTAGTTTCTACACAATGCAAGAGATGAGCTGAGGTCCGCTTCTGCATGTAAGTGAGGGGGCGTGGCTTCTGAGGGAGCACAGAGGGGAGGGGTTGGGTGCAGACGGAGCACTGAGGGAATGCTACTTTCAAAATCATGCAAGTTTTAGAAAACCACCAACCCGGCCTTTAAGTGAAAAGTGATAACAAACTTGAAGCAAATCACAGCCATATTACAAGTTTTGACGGTTGTATAATTGATGTTTTTCCAGTGGAAATGCTGAACTGTAAATCAGAATCTGCTCCATTTTTGATCACATTGAGGATGATTTTTTTAATGTCTTTCTACGGGATGTCAATGTGAGGTTGTCTTTGGGGATGAAGAGTAACCCCGGGTCTCGTTACTGTATGAAATCTGGTTGCTTTTTGCTTATTCCTCTCAGTTTATACAAGTTATGGGTTAAAACACGGACTTGCAAAAGACTAAACAAAGAAAAAAGGAACTCTAAATCTGCTCTTGTCTTAGTTTAGCCACAATAAACACCTGAAAATAAAAGATTTTCACAAGTATTTGTTCCTTTAATGAAATAATTTCACAAGAGGAGACACTGAGCAGCAGGTACTTGCTGCGTCCTTCGCTCGAAACCATCGAATGTCAGCAGATGCAGGACTTTTGTGATTGAAAATTCCTCATTGAACCTTGGCCGTTCTTGTCCCCCATAATACACACGGATCCATGTTTGAATGGTGCCTGTTGAGATGAGCTGAGCTGCACTTCAATGGGAGATATTTTTGGGTTTTAATAGCTTCTCTGCTCCACTTGTGTCAGGGGAACAGGTGCTCCGGTTGTCGGAGGGGTCGGCCAAAAAGGACAGCTGAGTGTCGGAATGACAAAAATCAATGCAGCAGATTAGAAGTGCAAGGAGAATCTCCATGGTTACGTCATAATGGTTTTTTTTTATCAATCTACATACATACATCCTTTTTGTAAAAAAAAAATATTTGCTGAACATTCATCATCTTTCACGACAGTTTGTCATAAAGTAGTTTGTTAACCTGGCCACTCATCTTACTATAAAGAGAGGAATATCTGTAGACTGGAGTGCTAAAACAAACAACCCACTTTATATTTTGGTTAATTAATTTATTTGCTGTAAATTTCAGAAGATTTCCTTGATTCTTTGGGTTTACGTATATCAATCTAATCATACATGTTTAATGAATGGATAGTTTGTTTTTCTTTAGTTTTTTCCACAACAAACATCCTTTGAATAATTTAATGTGATAAATGTTCTTCATTTTTTAAGCTATAAACAATAGACTGAAGATGAAGAAGAAGACTTTTTACACCTCAGGTCACACCTACACATTCACACACTGATGGTAGAGGCTGCTATGTAAAGTGGCCATCAGAAGTAACTAATCGCATTCATTATTACTTGCACATTTTCAGGTCAAGATACTGTTATTTAAAGAGGACATATTATCCCCCTTTTCCACTTTTTCAAACAGTCCCCCTGTGGTCTAAATGAAACATCTGTGCTGTGATTTGGTCAAAATATAACATGAATCAAGCACCAGAGGAGGTTTGTGACCCTGTATAAACCAGCTCGCTCAGAACGCTCCGTTTTGGTGTGTGTGTCTCTTTAAATGTAATGAACCCTCCCTCACCCCGCAGGTGTGCCGACCGGTGCCGACATGAGTTCAGCTTTGAGCTTCCATGGCAACTCATCAGCGTGCCCCCTGGGAAAAACATGGATGCCGGAGACAACACAGGAATGGAGGGGAGGGTATTTTTTTTTACCAGAATCCCACTGTGACATCACAAGGACAGCAAATGTGAAACGGAGCATTTTTCTCTGTGTTGTAAGACTTATGCAGACCACAAACAAAGGACTGGATGGGTTTATTTCACATGTTGTGGGTCAGTAGACACTCAGGTTACCCAAATATATGTTAAAAAACATTGTCAAATTCGATTTTTCATAATATGTCCCCTTTAATGTCTTGCTTTGTCCACAGGGGGCGCCATCCGCACCCCGCTGCAATGTATTTTTTTGCTTGTATGTCCAAACCCTGTAAATCCACATTTATTATTATTATAATAAGCTGTGGTGTATTTATCACTTCACATTCTTTATAGATAAGACTCAACTTTGAGGACTGGGACTTTGGACTCTGGTAATGAAGACAGGATTGGGATTCTTCTGACCTGGACTTGAACACTGTCTGGGGACGCAGGACTGGACTCAGCCCTGAACACTGGTTCCTCTCTACAATCTCCTCTCTGTGTACACCTCACACCAAAAGGTAAAAATAATTCACAGTATGAATGTCTAAAAAATAATTTCTAACTTTTTCAACAGTAAAAATTTAAGAGTTTGATTTCTAAATCTTACTGTATTATTATTTATTATTCATATTCCTTTGTGCTGACAAAATGTTTGGAGACGTTGTCGTAATCAGCGTTGGAATGCAAATAAAACCATTTCGACCGCAGATTCCTCGTTTTGTTGTGTGCGGTAAGTTGCCGTTAGTTGACCCCTGACCTCTGTTAATACCGCCAAACTCAGAACAAACTATTCGACCCTTTGACCTCTAGAATTTGGGAGGCCACCGAGGAATTGTGGGACTCTGTAGCATCACATTCCTCCCATTGGTCGCTTTGATATGTTTACTCATTCAATTAGCAGCGAGGGGCAGTTGTTACATTCTCATCTGTGGCTTTAAACACTAGAAATGCCTCAACTGTGCATGACGGAAAACATAATGACACCACAAAGGTTTTGAGGTTTTTAATTAGTAGCTATACATTGAAGGTACATGAAGTCCTTTAAACTCTTATGTCTCATGCTGGATGATCACGTTGATACTTTTGGGTAATAAAAGCATTTAGAGTAGACTAATCTTGATGGTTTGCCTTTCACAAAAAATAAGCTTTTAAGTATTTATTTTTGGGCTTTTTATGCCCCAACTTAGAGCCAGGACGGTGGACAGATCCAGAAACCAGGGAGAGAGAGAGAGAGAGAGCCACAGGCCAGACCCGAACTGGAGCCGTCTGCCCGGAGGACCACTGCCTCCACACATGGGGCACACGGGGCGTACTAACCACCAGGCCACCAGCGAAGGTGGGATTCAAACTTGGGCCGCCCACTTGGACGACTACAGCCTCCATACATGGAGCGTGCGCACTAACCACTGCGCCACCAGCACTTCAATTGTGCATTTATTTAATTGGCATGTACATTTAAAGCTCTTTTGTTGTCTCTCAAAAGAAATGTGTCTCATGAAAGGTAAAAGAAGATTATCATCAAAAAGAAACGCGCAAACTCAAGCTAACATCATTTTCCTACATATTCTCTCACTGTGTCTGAAACCACATACTAACGTGCGCCATCCTCTACATGATACATAAAATGCCAAATGGAGAGTGTGAGGACATTTAAAAAAAATTATTAGTAGAATAAAAAACACAAAATCTATCCTTTCCCAATCCTTCATTTAGTGGAAATTGGTGACTCTGTAAATAAATATTCCAAAAAGCTAAAGTGTCTTTCCTCCCCAGTGTCCATATGTTGATAACTATCATGAGCGGAAATTAAATACAAAGTGTATCAAAGTATTTTATGACCTTGACTAAAACAGTGTTTAAAAATGTCTAAATCTCAACCCATAAAGGACTACATCAAATTTAATTGTAGAAATTTGGAGCTAATTTTACACAAGATAAATCTAATGTGGTAAAATCAAATTATTGAACACAAGGGAACAAGTCGACATTATTTTCCCTCAGTTTTGTTTACAAGGACACAATTTCACTTCCATTTTATAGATAAAGCTCTGAGGTGTACTGTAGCCGCAAATAATGTTAGTGTTTTTCTCTTTTGTTGAATTTGAAGGAAAACGATGAATTAACAGCTAAGCAAGCAAGGGTAACGAATACAATCTGTAATGTAAAACCAGCAAAATAAAAACAGGTTAAAAGGTTTTTCAGTTGATGGTTTCCTTGTGATTAAAAGCCCATTAAGAGCAGAGGTGGAGCTGTGGCCTCTGATTGGTGGGAGGGAGGCGTCAGAGCTGGGGGTGTGTGTGTGTGTGTGTGTGTGTGTGTGTGTGTGTGTGTGTGTGTGTGTGAGAGAGAGGGGGAGGGTGGAGGGTGGAGGGGGATCCCTTCAGTGCGTCCGGCCGCAGTCCAGCGCGTAAAGAGCGCAGCAGAGAGACTCTCCTTCCTCCCCTTCTTCCACTTTACTGTCGAGTCCTTCACGGCCCGGATTACTGCTTCCTCTCCGTCCTGCAACGCGCTCTAAATGAAGCTTAGTTCTTCTTTGTGACTTTCTTCGCCATGAGCTGCCTGGATGTGATGTACCAAGTGTTTGGTCCTCAGCCTTATTTCAGCTCCTACAGCCCCTATCACCACCAGGTATGAGTTTTAATATCATCTACAAACTGATTTTTAAAGAGCTCTTTCACTTTGGTCAACTTTAAGTCTGTTTTGATGAAAGAAAAACTTTAATATTTACGGTAATAAGTCCATTTGACAGCCAGCTGGAGTTCATTTACCATGCAAACACAGCAGCTAAAGTAACCACTGTCTATGATTATATATTTATATGACGTTATCATTCAGCTCTGCAGTCCTTGACACCTCTTAACACCTCCTATATGTGAACGAAGATACTTTTAAACCGGCACTCAGACAGAATAAAAGCGCGTAATGGACAGTGTTAATGCGCTACTGAGAAGAACTCAGCCAGTGCGTAAAGCGAACATGAAACTTTCTGCAGCGGCAACCTGTAAATTGATTGATACTTCTTTAACTTATCAGGGCTGACATGACAGTCGTCTACTCCGCAGAGAGTCCGGAAAAAGTTGGATTTTTTGTTTTGTTTATTGACTTAGTATTAGCCTTGATTATAATAAAATAAAAAGCTGACAAACTTTATTAAAGTCCAGACTTATGTGATTTATTTTTCCTTTTTGTTTCGTACATCAAATCAAATCTTAGTGAGTGTATTTCTCTTCACAGCTAAGTAAATAAATTTTGATGGATGCATTTGCTGCTATTTTTACTCTTTACAAACAACTCAGACCCACATTTTCTTTTGCTATTTTTATCCGGACTGACCAGGTGAATGTGACTTATTTTAGGTCTAATGAGATTGTTTTGACAAGATTTAAGAATGATACTCTTAAAATGTGAGATGAAGGGGCCACAGCCTACATTACTCCGCAGGGAATAAGAGCCTGAGGGGAGATGTTAATTTAATTAGGGCTAATTAATCAACTAAACAGGATAAAGGTGAGAGGACATTTAGCCTATGTGGGTGAAACCAGCATAACGATAATGCACATTCAAATAGACACTGAATGAAGTTTACTCTGTTTAATATAAAATGATGATGAAAATGAGGTCGTTATTTTGCAGTGTAAAACTTTTTAACGAATTTTGTAGATGATAAGATTATGAGGTTTGACACAACAAGACAAAGACAATTAATTTCAAAAAGTTTTATCCACCTAAAGTCTCATTTCCTTCCTTATGTTACTTAATTGAGAATGAAAATCACTTATTTCACACGTGAGCCCGGATAAATTGAGTCTACTTAGAAAATCTTGGACACTTGTTGCCTCAAAAAAACGCAATAATGTAAAATAAAAACTTGAGTTGAATTAACTCCTCTGTTAAAGTGAAAAAAACTGAATGCCAAACACTTGATAGTTCTAAAAATGTGAAGTCCAATCAACTCGGCATTTAGTGTATTTCATTTAAATTATCATGTTAGTTCATCTCAAGTATTCATTATCTGTTACTTAGTTTTTTAAGGCAACAAGTTTCAAGATTCTCTGAGTAAACTTAACCTGTACTGTACCTACACTTCAGTGTCACATTAGGGTCAAACATTAAGACTGCTGATGGTTCAATCTTTGTTTTCACATATCTGTGTTTTAAAGACTCAGACAGTATGAGCTCAGCAGTTTTTCGATGTGTTAAAGGTCTTTTTTTTTCACCCTCTTTAAACCTCTCAGTCAACATCCAAAGATGTTTCACATAGTGCCAAAACTCACTGTGTCCGTCACATAAACAGACTCTGGATCAGCCGCTGCTTACACATGCTGCACTCTACAACACAGATGCTAATTTAAAGGATTCGTATTATTTGCATGGTTAAACTTTAAAATGTAATGGCATTAAGCAGCTGTTATGTATATATGTATTATTCAATGTCATTATTCAGATGTAGTAAAAAGGAAAGAACATAAAAGTTCAGAGGTGTTTCTGGTCTTTGTGAGCTGCAGCGGTGAACATTATGTGTTGAAAACTTGGTTTAAAAGCAAACACGACTTTAAATTTGAATAAAGTGCTGACTGAAGTTTGCAAAATGTTACAGAAGAAAATGAAGCCAGGTGACATACCTGTAATTGGTAATTGGTGAACAATAAAAGGAAATCAAACAAAAACTTTAACTCAAATAGGCAGGAGAAAAGCACTGTTTTTTCTTCAAAGTTAGAGCTTGTTGTAAAGTAAAATGAATAAAAGATGTACATACGATTGCAAAAACTTATCGCAGAGAACAAACCTGTTGCATCCAAATAAAATAAAATCCTGAGGTTAGATGTTCAATGTCAGAAACTTTAATTCTGTATCTTAAATCTCAAGCTGCAAACCGTCACATCACTATAAATACATTTTTAATAATCAACATAAAACCCTCTATGTCCTCTCTAGAAACTGGCCTTGTATTCCAAAATGCAAGACCCACAGGACAGCGGCAGCCGGCTCGGCCCCGCGGGCCCCCCAGTGATCAAAGAGGAGGACAAGGAGCTGCCGCCGGGAGCCGAGTACCTGAACTCCCGCTGCGTCCTCTTCACATACTTCCAAGGAGACATCAGCGCTGTGGTGGATGAGCACTTCAGCCGAGCCCTCAGCCACACGACCGCCTACCCCCCCTCAACCAGCCACAAGGCCATAAGAGTGTGTGTGTGTGTGTGTGTGTGTGTGTGTGTGTGTGTGTGTGTGTGTGTGTGTGTCGCCTTAGTTTATGTCTATCAGGGTGGAAAACATGACTTCATTTGTCAGCTCAAAGCTGCAAGTACAGGATTTCTGACGGGCGACGTTAGATTAAATATAGTCGTTCAAAAGGTTGCTAAATTAAATTTCTCTTAAAAGTTCACGAGGGGAGAAAGGCCTTGCTTGCAGTAATCATTTTTCATTGCCCTTTGCTACGGTTCACAATTTTATAATGCCTTCATGTTGAGATAAAAGAGACAGTTCCTTGTGATAAAGGTGTCATTTATCTGGGTGCTTCTTACTTGATGTTGTGTACAACATGCAACATTTCCAGTTACACCCGATGATGCAGAGATAAAGTTATAATTAAGAGGAAAGGACAATGTTGTTGTTGTTGTTGTTGATTTTTTTAGGTTGTGTCATTTGGTTAAGAAAGCTTGTTTTCTAAGCATGATGTTGTAATTAATTTGTGTAAATCTGTGTTTGGTTTATGTTAGCAGCAGTTACTGTTTCAAGTTAACCAGACTTCAGGAAAGTTACAGAAACAGTAAAAAAAAACAAATGTCAGGCTCTGTCAGCAGGTCGTCGTTTTTTTAATGGAGATACTGTACATGGCGCACAAAATAATTATGTTGGTATGAAAAAGTCATGAATGTAACGACGGTTATATAAATTGTTGGGGATTTATTGTTACCTTTAGTGCCGCTGCATTTGTCATACATATCACGCCGTGATAAAGTGTCTTTGGCGTCCAGGTAAAAAGTGACTCTACATGTTTATGTCTGTGACTCAGTTGGTAACCAGCTCCTGCAGCCACATGTCCGATGTGGCCACTTAACCCCAAATTTCTCCCACTGCTTTGTCGTCGGCATGCATATGAATGTGCATGAATGGGATTAGCTGAATCTGATGGACTCTTTACCCAGCAGCCTCTGCCATCAGTGTGTGAATGTGGAGGTGTGACCTGTGGAGTATAATCACTTCGAGTAGTCAGAAGAATAGAAAAGTGCTATACAAGCTCAAGTCCATTTACCATTACTCAACAAGTAACAGAATGCTGAATTTAAAGTCATCTTAATGTCCAGACCGGCTGTTTATGTAGATATTATAAAATAATAAAAACTCATTGATAATATCTTTGTTTTATAACATTCGTTCAATGGAGCATAAGTAAGTTTTCATTGGTGAACTGGAGATCTTATTTTCTCATCATTTACATTTTTCTGTAAAACATAAGAAAGTAGTTCCTAAATGTAATCATATTCCCCCGCTCTTCAAAATGCTCTTTATCTACCAACCAATCAAAAACCCACTCATCATCTTTAACAATGACTTAGAACTGAAAACGGAAGACCATACTGTCTAATAAAGAAGCTGTAAAAAACAGGTTTTTGGAATTTTGCTTTTAAAATGGAATCCAATGGGGCACTGATGGGGCAGTGGTTTGTGCGTGCGCCCCATATACGGAGGCTGCAGTCCTCCGAGTGGGCGGCCCAGGTTTGAATCCTACCTGTGGCTCCTTTCCCGCATGTCATTCCACTCTCTATTTTTCCCTGATTTCTGACACTATCCACTGTCCTATCTTTCAATTAAAAGCAAAAAAGCCAATAAAAAATAATTTAAAAAAGGAATCTGATAAGGAAATGATTATAAATGTAAAAATGTATTTTAGTTCTGATGAATTTTCTTTAATGTGGATAAAGTAATCAGTAAAAACTTCAGCTTTACGTTCTGCAAAATAAAACATTGCAGCAGTTGTAACGATAAATTACGGCTTTAAGATTCTGCAAAAGGGGTTTTAAAAGTTTATAAAAGGTTTTTATTCAAATGAAACAAAATGTCCTTCGATGAGTTACTGGAGGGAAGGATCGTTGGATGACTTTTCATAGATCACTTTTTTTTTCGAAGTGTTGACGTCTTACTTCATGATCAATCAATCAAACTTTATTTGTTCAGCACTTTTCATACAACAAATGTATCCCAAAGTGCTTTACATCAACATTTAATCAAACAGCAACAACATGACTCCCTCCCCCGCCCCTATCCCACAATCCAAAACACTAAGGTAAAAATAACTAGATAAGAACAGGTAATGATGTAACTCTTTGGATTTCTCTTCTCACAGACGGATCATTCCCCATGAGTCAGCGAAGTTTCCCTCCGTCTTTCTGGAACAGCTCCTACCAGCCGTCCGTTTCCTCCACGCTGTCCGCTCCCCACACAGAGCTGCCCTTCCACGGGGACCCGTACTCCTCCGCCTCCCTGCACAGCCACCTCCATCAGCCCAGCCCCGACGCCTGGCACCCATCGCATCACCACCACCATCACCACCACCACCCGTACTCACTAGGGAGCGCTATAAGCACCCAGAGCTCAGCGTACTCGCGTCCAGGCGTTCACGAGATGTACGGCGCGGCTTTCGACCCGCGCTACAGTTCTCTGCTGGTGCCGTCGGTGAGGCCTCATCACCGCTTGACGTCCAGCAGCTCGGTCCCGGGGCCCAGCAGCTCGCCGTGCGACCTGGGAGGGAAGGGGGAGTCGGGGTCGGGCTCCTCCTGGAGCGGGGCCTTCACAGGAGCCGGAGCTGAGATCGGACTCAACATGGACACAGGTATTTTCAACTTTCAAATAATAAAAAAAAAAAGGTTGGGCTACATTTTAAAGTCTTTATATGTGATTTTTTGATCCAGCAGATGTCGCCCTTGAGCACCAGCATGAAACCAAAACAACTCGCGCTGCATTGTTGTGTTAGCATGCTAATGCTAGCGATCTTTATTATGCTCATATCTTCACACTGCATGTAAATTTACCTGAAATGAGCGTGATCTAGAAACACAGTTAAGCAGTGAGTACAGTATGTTATTCTTCTTTTCTCTAGTCCCTCAATTAAACAACTTTTATACGAGAGGGGAGGAGTCAGCCAGCCGTCCGGGCGATGTAAACAAACTGAAGATAGGACTCTGAAAACTCTGAAAACATCACAGACAGTGGGACTCGGGTGTTACACCCATTGTAGACAGTCATGACTCACAGAGTTATTTTCAGAGGATATACTTGATTTATATTATATTTAAGTGTGAAAAATCACATTTTAAGCCTTTAACATTTGTTTAGCTGCCTTATGTGTGCAGAGCAATGTACGAGCGTCTTTAACAACTTTACATTTATAAATCTGTCAACTTAACAAACAAGTCTGAAAATGTTGTCATCATCTTCAATTCTCTTTTTTAAACAGAGGTAGAATTATGAGACAAACGGACAAGGCAATGAAAGCAATAAAAACAAACAATTAGCCCGCTTAGCTGTAGCTTCATATCGAACATCCAATTTGGATTCAATCATTCAAATTCCTCAGCGGTAACCTCGTCTTCAAAACGATCAATGCAAACATCCAAATCCATACAGCAAAGTAGGAAAGTTACAACCTCAAACCTGATTTAAATGTCTGCCTCGGATCAATTTACCACCAAGTGTTGTGAATGGACAAACTTACTGTCAATCAGCACCTTAACACCAGCTGTCAACTTGCTCTCTGTTGCTGTTTTGCTTTCATCCCCTCTGTGCCTCGGGCTTTTCCTCCTGCTTTTATCAACAAGACATTCAGGCTTTTTTTCTAATCTCCCTTTTCTTTGCTTTTCTCTTCCTTTGACTTTTCTTTTCCTCCTTTCTTTCCTCCTCTCTCAGGTCTGCAGGCACAGGATAAGAGCAAGGATTTGTATTGGTTTTAGAGACCCCTACCCCCTTTCTTCTTTTACTTCAGCTGTAGACTCTATCCTCCTCTCCTGCTCTACTCTGTCGCTCTCCTGCTCTTACAGGATGACTCACAGAGAAACTGAAATTTTAGTCAAGACGGCAGTTTTGTGCTGTAACTGCTTCTGGTCTACTTGCAGCTCGGTGTTACAGCGGACTGTGCGGCAGCAGCACAGCCCTGCTGAGCTGAAAGTTGGCACTGTGGATACGGAAAGAGAGAAAGCAAAGCGTGGAAACAAAAGTTGGACTCGCAGAGAAGAAGGAGGCGACAATCTGATTTTGACGGATGTGGACAGAGACAAGAACTCTGTGCTTCTGTAACAGACGGGGACAACATTCCTAAACTGGAAAAAAAAAAGTCTGGGGACAGACAGAGACACATGTTGTCGAGCTCCAAAGACAAGCAAGCGCTTAAGGACTTGGCATGACTTGCTTCACTGGGACAACTGGGCAAAAAAACACTGGGAGTGTTATGGCTGGAGAAAAAGGCTGTGTTGGTGTCGAGTAGGCTGCACAGCACAGAATCTGACAGACTGTGAAAGGCAGGAGGAGTCCAAAAAAACATTGGTTTACATGGAGTATTTGGTACAATGTCAACTGTCTGTATCAATGTAATTATTTTATGGCACATTAAAAATTAAATTAAACAGTTTCTGATGGTTTTCAACTGATATCAAAAGATTTAAGTAGACATTTAAATGTCTTAAAGATGTTTTCCCAATTAACAATCAAATCAAACAGATTAAGTATACTCAAAATTTCAACTTTCGAGTTTCAGGTATTTTATACGATCATCCCACAACGCAGTGTCTAAAGAAAACGGTGGAGACACTGACAGTGGAACAAAATTGTTAATACAAAACGTAAAATAATGGTTTGGTATTTATTTGCTTTGTGAAGATTATTTGGATCCAGTTTTTGTATAGAATGGAATTAGAACACAGTAGGCTCAGTAAGATGTTTCTATAATTTTGTCAATTTGCAGGTCTAGTAAGCCGGGATAACTATGTTTAAAATATTCAGTAATTTAATGAACATGTTTTTTTGCTGCTGTTATACAATACAATACTTCCCCAGGGGGGGAATTTGCTCTCACAGCTTTGCACAGTCGGTACACATGAAGAAAGCATATAACATGAAAAAAGCTCTTTTTGAAGCGTGCCCTCTTCCAGGTTCAGAGTTCTGTATCTCCAACCCGATGGCAAATCTTATTCACACAACTTTTACAGCAACTGATGCCAAAAATCAAAACATTCACTTTGAATATCAAAGCTCTCGGCTTGACCCGCAAACTCATTGCTACTTTGATATTTGGTTTTATTCCCATGTTATGTAATTAAAAATAAATTATTGCACGTTTTTAAATTCATAAAATTTCAGTACAGCAAAAGTTCAATAAAAATGATGGGTTCTCTTTGTACATTGAGAGATATCAACTTCTGTTAAGTGTTACATTGACTGACGGGCTAAAATCGGTAAAAGAGCATTTAACTTTCCACAGATATAATTAGGATTGTTTTGTTTCAAGTGCGCCCACTACAGCAGCAGAATGATACTGAAGTGGAACGACCACTATTTCACCTGCGGAGTGGACCAGACTGTGCTCAGCTATTTGTTGTGGCCGTCTGCCAAACAGTTTTCTTTGAGGGCAGGATAAAAAAAAATCTTTGTGGTTGCGTCGAAAAAAGAAAAGTAAACTTTACACTCTTTATTTGTGTGTGTGAAAGAGGGACAGGGGAGGGAGAGAAAGGGGAATACTATGATGAATGAAGAGAATGACGGCTATTTGAAGCCACTTGACTCCCTCTCTCTCTGCTCCCATGCAGCTGTCAACGACAACTGCTCCTCAGCTCAGTGAACGCACCCCAGACATATATACACACACGCACACGCACACATGCAAACACACACACACACATACATGTACATGTAGCTTGGTCAGGACCATGACCTGTTGATTTTTTCTGAGGACCTCTAATAAAACTGCAGCTAAAAAGGTTAGAAAATCAGAACTCTTGATAGTTTCACACACACACACACACACACACACACACACACACACACACACACACACACACACACACACACAAACACACACACACATTAATATATGTATATGACTTAGTGTGAACCATGATCAATTAATATTTTTGTGAGGACCACCAATAAAACTGCAGCTAAATTTTTTTTAAAAATCATGTCTTTTCCCAGTTTGGAATCGAGAAATTCACCTCAAATGTTTGATTTCAGATTAGGGAGGTTTTTTTTCCTCTAAACTTTCTTCTTGCGAGAGTACTTGACATGTCTTTATGGTATTCTTTCTTTATTATTTTTCAAGTAAAGCCAACAAACTAACATCTACTTGTTAGCACCCTGTTACTCCAGTTTTATGTTTATTTCCTAGTGTTAACATCATTTGCATTTCATATCATACAAACATTTCTAGGGGATAACACACAGTGAGCATGTTGTTCTAGCAGAATTCATCTCCCAGCAGCTTTGCAAATCCATCATAACAACCCACTTATGGACATAATACCCTTATTACATTATTTGTGAAAGAAATGCAATAATATGACACAATTCATTGATTTGGAAATTACTTTTATTTAAAAAATAATTATATCTCTAGCGTAAAAAGAAAGATTCTAAAGTTAGAGCTTTGTGCTTAGCTACAATAAACTCTGTAGCCTTCTTAAGCCAACACAGCTGTTACATTATCAACTAATACGCTGAAATAATCATATTGACATATTTTTAAAAGGATTTAAACACTTTAGTATCCCAAACTGTGTTCCTTTAAGTGTTTTCATCATGTGACATCTTCAATTGTGTAGATTTTGTATATTTTTTTGTCTTTTAACCTCCTGCTCTTCTCACTTTTTCACATCTTTTGTTATTCCCAGAGTATAGGACCTGAAGTGAAAATAAATGGACTTATTGATAGATTATATGCATTGTTCTCCAATGAATTCACAAATAGCAATAGCCACACGTTAAACTTATTAAGTCCTTGGATTGGACTGATTATTTCTCCCCTTTTTTCCACACTCCTCTTGTAGCATGACCAGAATTTGAAAATACTGGGGATATCACCCAAAAAAAGTATGATTCAGATTTCGACACAGTAACTCTCTTCTTTGACGGTAAGTACATCATAGATGGTATCAAGGACACATGAGCAGAATGACATCAGTCAGTGTAGGACTAGTCCTTGTTTCATGGTTGTGGGCTGTTGAGATCCTGTGAGTCATTATGTCTGGTTCTTTAGTCATATAATGTATGTTTCACCTCAGCATTAGTTCATCATATTGACACACATTGAATGGATTCTATACTGTACATGTATGGAGATAGAATAGGACTTAATAATTTTTTTGACAGACTACGCTGTTTCCAAACTGAATATCTTTTAAGGGAAGAATATTTTTTGACTGATCCACAAAAACCTTTGTGACAGAAGTCAGTGCTGACCTTTTTGTATTGTACTGTACCTTTTGTAGTCTACTGTGAGACTTTTGATGTCATTATGAAAAAGACAAAAATGTATACTCATGCCTCCCTATGAACAACAAAAGCAAACAACCATCAGGAAAAAAGACTCACTATTTCTTTATGGATATTTGCCTATAATAAAAGTGAAAACAAGTGAAATTCAATTGAATTTAATGTGAACACAGTTATTTGACTTCATTTAAATTATTTGAGCTCACAATACAAGTTTGCTGATGGACGCCTGACAGCTCTGGGCCCTTACAGAAATAAGCTGTTCAATGAAAGTACGAGATAGGTCACCCATGTTTTTTCACACTTGAAACTCAAGTATCTCCTCAATTCAAGCTAGCGTTAACCTAACCTTTATTGAATTCTTGTCCTTTTTTTTAATGTTGTGATACCTTAGCTCAGAGCGACAGTTCATCCATCTGCCATTGAACCTTTTTAAGCTTTCACTGTGACAGCCCTTTATATCCTTCTCCCTGCACAAATACACAACACATTTTTTTCCTCTTATATAAACATGTCAGTGCTCATACATTTCTTTTCTGGCTTATGGTAATATGTTGTCACAGATCTTTAATAGAAATAGCAGATCAATAGAAGATGTGTCATCATGCACCTTTAAGAAAAAGCTAAAGACCCAGCGCTTTCATGAATACCTACTGACTTAATGATGATGACGATGGTTTTTGTTTGATAACGACGACTTATAAGATGGTTTCTATACTGTGTGTGAAGTGAATTGTAGAATCATGGTATAAAACAAATGTACTGCCACTAAATCCTTACGGAGAGTCTCTGTGAAAAGAATGCAGCGTTTCATTTTAGACGTGTACGACTTTATAGTCAATTGTACTCAGAATTTAAAAGCACTTTCTAAATAAAACAGAGCTCAGGTTTATCTAACTGCTTGTATTATTGTCACATTAAAAAATATAGCATTTTTCCAGTCCTAATATATATTTTGAAATCAAAGTCTTCTTAAAAATAGTGTTAACATATCGTCTCATCTCTTTCTCATGAACCCAGTGTTCTGATTTGTGTTGTCTCGTGATCTTCACACCCCTAGTAATAACACTAATTTGAGCAAAACTGTATAAAAAGCTGTATAAAATATCAAACTTTGACAATCACACACTAGACTTCTGAGAATTCTAATGAGTAATACTTGCAAAAAATGTTTATATCCTTTAATATAAATACACGGAAAGAAAGGAAAGTAATACGCCAAGAGAGAAGAACAATATACAGTCAAAAAAAAATAAGACAATTAAATATCAGCCATATGCTCTATTTCTCAGGAGCTCAATGGCGTGTGTGTGAACTTGTTTCAGCTGAGAGCGAGACAGCTGTAGATTAATATCAGCTTCTGACTTGAGTGATGACAGACGAGAAAAGGATGGAGAGGTGCCGTCTCCCTTTCTCTCTCTATCACTGTCAATACTCAAAAACACATGTATGTTAAATTCTTTCCTCTCATCTGTTTTTTCTCTCTCTTTGAAGCAATTAAAAAAACAAATTTCTCTTTTTACAAAGATGTGAGAGTTTATTCATAGAGCAGAATAGGAAGTTGTGTGAAGCCGTGCTAATCGTATAAAAAACAGGGCTGAGGTTAAGGACGAGAGCTACCCTTAAATCAAAGCGCGGAGAGGACTGCTTGGTTCATCAGTTAATTTATTAAACTGTTTACTCTTTATTAAACTGAATAGTTGAAGTGCAGTGTACTTCCAGGAATGAACAATAAAAATAAATTAAAATAACTTCTTGTTTGTGGTAAAATTTTTTACCCTGAAATAATCACTTAAAATCTTTTCCTCTCACCACAAAGGAATCATTTTCTTTTTGATCACAAAATATTTCAAATGCCTGAGTTAAGTATCCTTCATGTGTTCATAAAACAGTCCAAGAGATTTTTTTGCTGTTTGACAAAAAGGACTTAAAAGGCTCGTAAAAAGCTTGACTTTACATCATGGGTTACAAGCCATGAAATCTTACGAGCTGAAGAGCTTCAGATTTATGAACTTTATAATTAAAACAAACTGTTT